AGCAGCAACAACAACAGCAACAACAACGATCGCCTGTCGACGTTTTGTTGCGAGTGTTCCCGGGAAGACGTCGCGCGGACGTCGAGGCTCTGTTGCACCGGTGCAAAGGTAAGCCCTGTAATTTGATATCCGCGACTATTATTCGTCAGACGGAACATACGATCCATCTGTCCTCGCATAGTCTTATATCGAAAGATGGCCTCGAGATTTCAGAGGATTCGTCTATAGCGTTCTCGAGTTTCCTTGCAACCCACAACCGAGTTTCAACCCCTTTGGTCGCAAAATTCGTGGTAACGTTTAAGGATTGAATTTTCAGAAGGATCAAGGATTCTTGGAATCTTGAATTGCGGGCTGTAATTTTGAACACCACCGGTCGAAATGAAATTTTTTGTGGGTTTCAAAGGATGGACGTGAAGTAATTTCAATTTGATAAAAATTTTTTCGTGAAAGAAAAATTTAAATTTCAAAACAAATAAAAATCCATATCGCATAAGTATTTCACTATATCTGAAATATAAATAGATTAAAAAATAAAAAAGAAAGAAATAATAATTAGGGGAAAAAGATATATAAAGATATATATATACATAAATACAATAAGATCCCCGTATATGCGTTCTGTACTCAAACAATAATTAAAAAAAATGAAATAATTTTGTTTCTTATTAAAATCCATTATTATAGTTTTATTGTTTTATTATGTTAATCCTTTACAGTATCATGTTACTTTGAAATTTACAAATGTGTAGATATATTTTAAACATTTTGTTTCATTTATTTATCATTTCATTATTTTATTAATTTATCACTATATCAATATCAAATGATTTCTTTTAAATGACTTTGTTCCTAAATATAATGATATATTTCTAAGTTTCAGATTAAATTTAAATATTGTGATTAATTGCAATTCTTTTTTCTTCTCTTTCAGTAACAAAAATTCTATTTATATTAGATTGTTACAAATGAAATGATCGAGTATTTTAATAAGATTATATATCTTATAATAAAACAACTTGATAATATTAATTTAATAAAATTAATTAAAATAATATTAATCAAATTTGGATTTAACCGATTCAATACATCGTGTCAGAATTAAAATTATTACAACTAATCGATTACTAATAATTCCTTCTTTCATTTTATATATTTATAAATCATGAATTACTTATTCTTGAATAGTTTTACGAATTTATTAAATCGACCATTTCAACAATCTAATAAAAATTTAAATAAATAAAATCGCGCGTTGATTTTTATTATTCGTAAACATTTACATACACACAATATTACAAACAATATTTCCTACCTGCGAAAATAACTTATATTACCGGTGGATACGGGGATCTTACTGTATCCAAAAAAAGAAAGCAAAACTAAACCAAAAAATTTTTCACTCCAAAAAAAAAAAAAAGAGAAAAAAGAAAGAAAAAGAAACGAAAGAGTCAAGGAAAATGGAAACTGGCAGAGATATCTATGTCACAGGCGACGTGGTGTCCGCTATGGAGGTGTTGGTCTGCGAGGATAGTCTCCAGCCGAAATCAGCTTTCTCGCCTTTGGCAGGCGCATTGGCGTCGGCTGCGGCCGCGTCCGCCTCGGTCTCGGCCGCGTACGCGAGCAGAGCCGCGTACTGCACCACTCCCATCCCTTCGACCAGGCACAGGCTCCTGGCCGCTCCTTACGCAGGAACCGGCTACCTGCCCACAGTGATCAAGCCGCCCAATCAGAGTCTTCACGCGAACGGTACGAGTGACGCCTATCAGGAGACCAGTCCCGACGACGCCAGCGACAAGACGAGCTACTCCGAGTGACCGGACGACGCGCAGGCCGCCACCTGGTCTTACCTGCAATAGCCTAGGGACGACGGGGGGAGGGACTTCGGCCGTGGAAATGGCTGCCTGAATCACGGGGAGGACGGAAGCTGAAAATCATAACAACATGCGAGTCGTGAGGATTTTCACGAATTTCTTTCTGATTGGGTGAAAATCATTGAGATGGGAACAATTTAGAAATTTTGTAGAGGATTGATAGAGCGAGAGATTAGGAATGAATAATTTTGAAAAGGGAGATACTGAAATAAATAGATATGGAGCAAATTTTTGAAAAATTTCTAAAATTTCTAAAGATCGTAAAACTTTTCAGTACGTGGGGAAAGAAAGATGAAAAATTGTTTGATTTAAATAAATGATCAATTTGTGAAAAATTGGAAAGCGTTTACATATATATTTGTTAAAGATTCGATATCATTTTGTGAAGTTAAGGAGTTTAAGAAGCAAAAAATTATGGCACGATAGATATCTGGTAAAGAAGGAATTGATAATGTGAAAAGAATTGAAGAATTACTATAGAAATAATAGAAGAACTATTAAGTGATATTAAAACAGAAAAGAAACCGATCCTTAATAGAGAATTGATGATTTTTATCCAGAAGAACTGTTTTATTTACTTACAAATGTATCCAAGCCGAACGAAGGTCCAAAGAAGAAACCAGTCATTAGCAGCTTTCAAATACGTATCTGAGAAAGCATTCTACATTTTCTAAAAATATTATAGACGCACCGTATAGTGCATTATTCAAGAAGAGATAAAAAGAAGTCGAAAGTTAAAGAAAAAGACGAAATCAAATATGTATATGATATAAAAGAAGAAGACGATTTCTATGAAAGAATTCCCTTAGATTCTTTCTGCCACTATAAACGTTGTTAGAGGATTTCCAATCCGTGAATGGAAATAAAATTATCAAACGTCTCCTTCGAAGAATTTACAAAACAGTGTGGCCAGTAATCCACCTAATATACATACGTACAATTCGTACTGATCCATTTTCTTTGACATGTAACGTTCTGTGAACGTACAAAGAAAAATATATAGATAGGTAACGACGAAGAAATAAAAAGCGAGCCGCACGTTGGCCTCATTGTAATAATATATCTTTATACATACATGTGTAGATAAAGCGACTAAATGAAGTATGCGTGTAGTTAATATTCATGAGAGAAGAATGAGTGAGAGACAGAGAGAATGAGAAAAGAAGAAAATTGTATCGTCGCGATAAAAATAAAAAATAAAAATAAAAAAGGGAAAAAAAAGGATAAGTCACGAAACAAATTTGTAAATACGCGTGAATTGCTTTAGCCTGATCATCCATTGCAGTTAATCTGAGATATTGTCACGGAGTATGTTTAGCAAAGTTACATGATATAAAAATAATGGAAAAGAATAAACAGAAAAATAAAAAAAAAGTAAAAAAAAAAATGTCGAGGAAAAAAATAAAACGGAAAATAAATTATGTGTTTCTGATGATCGATGCAGAAACATGTAAGTATATATAACAATGATCGATTATACATAAGTGTTTGCCTGTAAGTATCACGGCTCTAAGATGTTAGATTTGCCGGCGACCGGAAACGTCGTTCTTTGTAGTTACCATATGTTATTCGAACAAATGTATAGACGGTTTATGAGAATAATAAATAAGATATTGATACTCCATACGTGATTCGATAATCATCCTTGTTTTTTATCCATTGAAATTTATTTTTTTATATGTATTTTGAAATATTCTTTTATTAATATTTTTTTATTTTCTTTTACCTAAAAAAAAGTAATATTCCGCTTATCAATATTTGGTTGGATATTAATCATTTATATTTTATTTTCTAAATAATTAATTAATAGATAAAAATTACATACAAAAATTATATAATTATTTATGCATACTTATTGTATATTTATATCTTTTGATTTTATTTTATCTTATATTCATTTAATTATGTAGACATTATTATGTAGATATTATTCTAAGTACATTATTTCTCTCATTAAGATAATATTTTTCATGATATAAAATTCATATTGCATAATTAAATTACTTAATATTTCTTAATAAGTTTTTTAATTAAATAATTATTTTATTTGTTTTATTCTCATTTTTTATCTTTCTTTTGTTCTAAAACATCTTTCAAATATTATTTTTCTTATTTAATATTGTTCTATTACATTGTTTTATTGCATCTAAAATATAGAAATTATAAATATTAATATATAGAAATAAGTAGTAATTTCTCTATTTTTAATTAAGAAAATCAATTATTAATTCTTTTTTTTTATAAACAAAATAAATTTTTAAAATTTGTACATAAAAATTTGTACAGAAAAGTTTTAAGTTTGGACTTTTGTGATAAACACTACTTTCCAATAATTTTCAATAGTTTTTATAGAATTTGCAAAGGAAATCAAAAAATAAAGAACGATTATCATGGTCTGATGGTGCAGAAAAAAAAACGAAAAAAAGAGAGCATCGAGGAACGCGAGGAATTCACTTTCATCGTATCCCGATATTTCCATCGATTTTTCGTTTTTCTAATTTCTATCATCACGTAGAACTTCCGATACACTCTGAACATACATACCATATTATAAAACATGCATATACGTTTCCACTTTTGTTATTATTCTCCTATTTCTATTATTTCGTTAATCAATGTAGAAATAAGATTATAATTGATGAAGTGATCGTGATGGTGTTAGTACATATTTCTGAACAGACTTGAAATAAATAATTACAAATTATTATTTTGATTTTTTTCTCCTTTATTTTATTAAAAAGTAAAAAAAAATCAATGAAGTTATAAATGATCGAGAAAAAAAATCTCTTAAAAATTGAAAAAAATTAAATAATAGAAAAGATATAAAAATTCATTTTATTTATACTATATTAGAAAATAATAATTTCAGATATAATAAATCTTTTTCTTGCATCATCTAATAATACAATTTAATGATACAATAAATATCCTTTAGTTTCTTTTCAAAGTAAATATCTATCTACTTTGGCTTTGGATTTATTTAGATTTAAATTGATTAAAAATATGTAATTAGGTTAGAATTATGACGAAATATTTATTTGGTAAAATGTTCGATCAAATTTTACTGAAATGATTTTCAATCAAAAATCTGAAATACGATTATTACTATATTTATTTAATTTGATCAATCAAATCAAATCAAATATTTTTCTTTTTAAAAGCAAAACCATTATATATTTTTTTCTCAGATTCATATATTCAATCTCGGGATTACGAATTTCTATTGTAAAGGTTAATTTGACAGAGTAATTTATGATAGAAAACGATATACCTACAATTTTCTAGGTTACTCATTTTCTTGATAGCAGACAAAAAAAAAAGGATCAATCGATGTTGTAGAAAAACGCAGGTTCGTATCGGTGTGGGGGACAATCTTCCACTCGACTTAAAATTCTTAAATGAAGGGAATACAAGGATGAAGAAAGGTATCAGATGTCGGATACAGTTTGCAGGTGCAGTAGGATGGCAGACCTATAGAGGGAGACATGGATCAGAGAATCTTTGAAATTGGATCGGTTTCATGCTCAATGCACAATTTGGATTTCCGAGCAGTCGATTTCCTACGAATAGATTCTCGACGACGCGACTAATCGATTTTACCACTCGATTTGCAATCTGGGCTCTACTAAATGATCGACTCTGTCAGTTGTTCACTTCAGGTGAAAAGCAAATAGCAAGTTTCATATGGTTGATTTTTTCTTAATTTTCAACTTTTTCAACTTAACATCAAATATATTTTAAAATATATAAAATGATTAAATGATTTTAAAATTTTTCAAAACATATTGATATAATAATCTTATAATATAAAGTTTATTTAATTATAATCGCTTATTTTATATATAGGTTAATATTTAAAACAAATTTTTCAAAAATTTCTCGAATGCTTTGAAAATAAATTCGAAAAAAGATTCTAATATTTATTTCATAATATATATTTGTTGAAATTATATATTTAATTATTATAATTATATTTATACGTTCGTAAAGTATTATAAATATATAAATTAACATTTAATTTTAGGTTAGAATTAGAGTTAAGATTTTATTTGAATATATTAATGATTTCAAAATTTCTTTCGAATTCACAAAGAGATATTAGATAGAAATATTATTAATGATAATCAAACTTTTTTAGAATTTTTAGACATATAATTAATTATTTATTAATTTTTTTCGTAATATTAACATATCAACTCTGATAATAAGCGATTATTTGTAATTGAATACAAGCATATAAACTTCATAAATTTTTAATTATTTAATTTTTCATTAAAAATAGATTTTTAAAAAGTACAAACAGTTTTTGTACTTTTATTATCTACAAGTGGAAATAAATTAATTAATGTCATATATCGTTTTATGAAACGTGAGTTCTCCAGGAATGTAATCATACATAATTTTATTATTATGTATTTTTTATTATTTATTATGTACTTTTATCATCTTAAGTTATATATCTATTTAATACAAATAATTTTCACGTGAGTTTATAAATTTGAACTTAACTTTATTGTTCCAGATTTATCAAAAGCATCAATTCTATAAAAAATACTTTAAAAAATTGATGTTTGAACAAAATCATTAAAACGAGATAAAAAAAAAAAGAAGCTGTGAAATTTTATGTGATATTTTTTTCTTTATTCGATTTTAAACGATTTTTTTTTTATTAGATTTATTCTTTATTCTTTTGCTGATTGTAATTGTTTAATATATAATATATAGTTAAGTATAATTTATATTTTTTATATTTTATTTTATTAAATGAAATTGAAAATATATAACAATCAATTCAAATATATAATTTTGATATTTCTTCATGATATGTTTTAAAAATAATAATCAATGTACATATTTTCTACTAGGTTCCAGCAATATCATAATTTTTGATATGGACGAAACCGAACAACTGAAATTATTTTCCAAACGTATACCGAAGCGCCCAGCCCGTTTATTCCTGGCTGGTTGTTGGTTTGCCGTAGCAGCCACGACTTTGCTAAATAAAATCACTTTCGCGGGCAGCGATACTCGGGGAAATAATTACGAGTGGTGGCGGGTTACGCGCGTGCACCAGCCTGGCTGCCTGGTGGTACATGATATCGATGAAATACCGATAATCGATTGCCCTCTACAAGGCATATATCCGATAGGTCG